GGAGGGAGAGAGAGGAACAGAGAGAGAGAGAAACATCGATGTGAAAGGGACACATCGAGTGGTACATGCCCTTAGCGGGAACCAAACCCGGGTCTCTCCGGACCGCAGGCCAACGCTCTAACCGCTGAGCCAAACCGGCCAGGGCTAAAGTGTGCTATTTAAAACCAACTATTTTAATTTAAAAAATCTATGACTGGTTTTTCCTCACCCAAGGACATTTTTCCATTTTTTGTTCAGATAGAGCGGGAGGGAGAGAGAGAGAGAGAGAAACATCGATGTGAAGGGACACATCGAGTGGCTGCCACCCACAAGACCAACCAGGGCCGAGGACAAACTGCAACCGAGGTAGGTGCCCCTAGCGGGAACCGAACCCGGGTCTCTCTGGACCGCAGGCCAACGCTCTAACCGCTGAGCCAAACCGGCCAGGGCTAAAGTGTGCTATTTAAAACCAACTATTTTAATTTAAAAAATCTATGACTGGTTTTTCAGTATATGCAAACCCTTATTATTTTTTATTTTTTTATATTTATTTATTTTTATTTGTTCCCCCATCGACCCCCCCCCCCCCCGCCTTTTCCCACACTGTTGTCTGTCTGTGTCCATTGGTTACGCATATAAGTTCTTTGGTTTATTTCTTCCCACCCCCCTTCTCTTTGAGGTTTGTCAGTCTAGCAACCAATTTGTCCTTTTTTTTTTATCCTGACCTGAGGACATTTTTCCATTTTTTGTTCAGATAGAATGGGAGGGAGAGAGAGAGAGAAAGAGAGAAACACTGATGTGAAAGGGACACATCGAGTGGCTGCCACCCGCACGACCCAACCAGGGCCAGGGACAAACTGCAACCGAGGTACGTGCCCTTAGCAGGAATCGAACCCAGGTCTCTCTGGACAGCAGGTTGACATTCTAACCACTGAGCCAAACAGGTCAGGGCCAATTTGTTCTTCTTAATCCCTTCACCTTTTTCACCCATTCCCCCAACCCCTCTCCCATCTGGTAACGAACAACATGTTCTCTGTATCTATGAGAATGTTTCTGTTCTGCCTGTTCATTTTGTTTGTAGATTCCATTGTCGACAGATATGTATTCATTGCCATTTTGTTTGTTCATATATATATATTTTTTTTCTTCAAAAAGACCTTTCAACAGTTCATATAATAATGGTTTGGTGGTGATGAACTCCTTTAACTTTTTCTTGTCTGGGAAACTCTTTTATATGGCCATCGATTCTAAATGACAACTTTGTAGGATAGAGTAATCTTGGTTGTAGGTTCTTGCTTTTCATCACTCTGAATATTTCTGGCCACTCCCTTCTGGCCTGCAAAGTTTCTTTTGAGAAATCAGCTGACAGTCTTATGGGAACTCCTTTGTAGGTAACTATCTGCTTTTCTTTTGCTGCTTTTAAGATTTTCTCTTTGTCTTGAACCTTTTGCATTTTGATGATGATGTGTCTTGGTGTGGGCCTCTTGGGGTTCATCTTGTTTGGGACTCTCTGTGCTTCCTGGACTTGTATGTCTGTTTCCTTCACCAAGTTAGGAAAGTTTTCTGCCATTATTGTTTCAAATAGGTTTTCGATTTTTTGCTCACTATCTTCTGCTTCTGGCACCCCCCCAAGATGCGAATGTTGGCACGCTTGAAGTTGTCCCAGAGGCTCCTTACACTATCCTCATTTTTTTGGATTTTTTTTTTCTTTTTGCTGTTTGGATTGGGTGTTTTTTGCTTCCTTATATTCCAAATCGATGGTTTGCTTCTTGGTTTTACCTACTCTAATAAATTATTCTTTATTTCAGTTAGTGCCTCCTTCATTTCTGACTCTGCATCCTTCATTTCTGACTGGTCCTTTTTTATGCTCTTGAGGCCCTCACTAAGTTCACTGAGGTTCTCACTAAGTTCATTGAGTAAGCAGTATTTTGAACTCAGTATCTGTTAGGTTGCTTATTTCCATTTCGCTTTAGTTCTTTTCCTGGAGTTTTGTTCTGTTCTTTCATTTGGGACCTGTTTCTTTGTCTTCTCATTTTGGCTGCCTCCCTGAGTTTGTTTCTACGTATTACTTAATGAGAGGTATGGGGCTAGCTGAGACCAGATGCTGCTTGTTTGAAAGAATCTAGGAAAACCTGAAGCAGGATTCAAGACAGGCCAATCCTATGGTTAAGCAATTGGCAACAGCTTGGGTGGGCCTGAAAGTTGGGTGGGGCAGGGCCTCGGGGAATAACCAGGGTGGGGCTACCAGTGTGAGCTAGGTTGCTGGAGTCCCAGATATAGCTGTGTCTGCTGCCCCAGGAAAAGGCTCACCAAAGGAACAAAGGCCTCTGACAGCAAGTTTGTCCCAGAGAAAGCCCCCTCTCCAGCCCTCGCTCCAGTGCCAAATAGCTCAGTTCTTCCCTATATGTCTCTGGCGCCCCTCGAGCTGCCTCCCCTCCGAGCTTAGAGGGAGAGAGTCCGATAAGTCCGTGCGCGGGCCCTTTAAGAGGAGCTGCCTGGGGCTCCAGCTGCCTCAGCCTCCCTGAGCCTCAGTTCCCGCTGGTTTTTCCAGCCAGAAGTTATGGGGATTCTCTTCCTGGCACTGGAACCCTGAGCGGGGCGCCTGGTGTGGGACGGGGACCCCTCAGTCCTCAGGGAGGACCTTCCCAGTTGAGGTGTCCTGATTTTTATTTGCCACATGTGGGTGTGGGACCAGCTCGTCCGCCTCCGCCCCTCCTACCAGTCTCGATGTGGCTGCTTCTTTAATTCCGCAGTGTAGGACTTCTGTTCAGCTTGATTTCAGGTGGTTTTGAATGATGGTTGTTCTGTAATTTAGTTGTAACTTTGATGTGGTTGTGGGAGGACGCGATACCGCGTTTACCTACCCACCATCTTGACCGAAAGTCCCCCTTATCTTTTTTAAAAAGGGAAGTTATTTAGAAGGTTATTCAACTTAAAAATTATCTTAGTTATTTAAAAGAAAGTAAACGAACAAACAAAAGAAATAAAGAATGGAAGTTTATAATCATTAAGCAGAAAGCTCAGCTTCAGAAAAAGTACCCATCATGTTTTCAAATCTGGACTGTGTGCTTGAAGTCAAAATTGCTGGGACAATGTTTTGAGAAGCCAATAAACTCTGAAGCATGACACTACAAAACTCAAATCAAGATCCCTTATCAGTTCCAGATTAGAGATTAAAGAAGCATGACAAATGCAATGCACCATCTCAGGTGGGTGGCTGAGGGGTGTGAGTGGGGGCGGGGCACTTCCATAAAGGACATTATTCATAGTACTGGCTAAAATGGAATATTGCCTGTATAATAGTATTGTGTCAATATAAAATTTCCTCAATTTGATCACTGTATTGTGGTTATGTAAGATAATATCCTCATTCTTAGGGAATACAAGTAAAGGGCCAGGATGTCTGCAACTGAATCTCAAATGGTTAGGGTTGGGGAGGTGGGGAATTAATAAAGCAAGAGGTGGCAAAATATTAATTGGTGAATTTTCATGAAGGGTATATGGGACTTCTTTGTATTATTCTTACAATTTCTATTTTTTCTTAATTGATTTTTAGAGGAAGAGGGAAAGAGAGAAACATCGATGAGAGAGAACATTGATTGGCCGTCTCCTGCATGTCCCCCACTGAGGTTCAGGCCCACAACCTGGGCATATGCCCTGATGGGGAATTGAACTGGTGACCTCTTGGTACATGTGTCAACACTCAACCACTGAGCCACACCGGCCAGGTTATTCTTGTAATTCTTATTTTTCAAAATAAGAAGTTGAGAAAACACATGCTTTCTCAGACTCTCGCTCATTCCATATCTACCCAACATAAAGAAATTCCTCCACTTTTCTAAGCACAAAATAACCCTACAGAGCAGAAGCCTCACTAGTGTTTTCTTCCAGCAGAGGGCACTAGAGCAGTAGTTTTTGAGCCTGGCTTTGAAAATAAATTAGTCCTGGGATCCAGTCAGGATCCTTTAAATCAGACTCTCTGGAGCCCAACTTACAGGTGATTCTAGCTTCAGCCAGGTTGGAGAATCTCTGCATTAGTTGCTGTACTACTGTGGGTCTCTACCTAGATTGGAAAGATAGATTTTAAGTCCAAAGTGACACCATTGAAAAGTCTTATACTCATGAACTTGCCACTTACAGACTTGAATAGTGTCACCTTGGGTAGGCTCAGCCTTTCAGAAGGTAGTCAGATGAAGCAGGCACCTGATGCTCCAGTGAGAAGGTAAGACCTATATAGCTAGCTTCCCAAACCAGCTGTGGGGATTCCTGCCCTATCTTAGCATTAGTACTTCCAGAATACAGAGAGCAAGAAATATGAGGAGCAGTGTACTGGTATTTGGTCTCCTAAATACCCCTATATGCAGATTTTCAATTAAGGGACAGTGTTTCAGTTGAATGAGGCAGTCATTCTGTTGGGTTTGAATATCTGGCCTTGTTCTTCATGGCCACCAGCAGGGGGAGCTGCACACCCAGCCAATAGACACAAACCATACCTAAGGGCTAGGATGTGGAAACAGGTGGAAATGCTGAATCATGGAGCTGAATGACTATAAAGGCTATAAAGACTGGATCACACCCCTATTATTTCCCGATCTAGTTACTTCTCTGTACTCCCCACTGCACTTAAGTGCTGACCGTGTCTGATTTACCTTCTGCTGCAGAGTCTCCCAAAGTACCCAACATACAGTAAGGCAAATATTAACTATTGTTGCTGCTGTTGACACCAGACAAGTGAAGATTCATCCGGCTGGCCAAATGTTAGCATTCACTGGGATTGCCAAGGCTGAGATGCTCTTCCTCCCCTCTTCAGGCCCCTCGTGGGGGATTTTCTGCATCCCAGGCCAATGAGACACTTTGTTTTTTCAGAACACCCTTCCTTCATGGAGCCCGCTATATCAGGTCCCGAGAAATCCATTCTCCAACGTTTTCCTCCCCAACCCTCCCCACAGGCCCCTGGTCATCTCCACCTTGGAGATGGGCTTGCAAGGCCCCAGGCCCAGATGACTGGGCGAGAGACTCACACTCCGGCTGGCACGAGTGGCTGGAACTTCCACTGTTCCTCCTCACAGTCCAGGAAAAGCCGGTTCATGATCTTGTTCTTCTCCTCAGGGGGGATGAAGTTCTCGATAATTAGGTATCTGGAGCAGAAATGAGGTAGAGATGGCGAATTGGGGAGAGAGACCCCACACATATATGTGAAGTTGAAGGATCTGAAGTAAGCAGCAAAGAGGCAGAGGGAACACAGGTAGAGAAACCAAAAAGTTGGGGGATGGGATCCCAATAGAAATAATAGATCTTGAAAATCACTTCTTCTAATATAAAGAGTGTAGGCTCAGGGCCAAAGGGGTTCCTTTTGGCCAACACCCAGCATGCACTTTGGGGGGTTTCATCAAATGCAGGCTGAGGGGGGAAGGAGAAGGAAACAGAGGAGGTAGAAGAAATTCCAGAACCTGGGCCTCTCCCTCATCCTTCAGACATGTTATTCCTAAGACACACGGACTCAAGGTGACTGCTGAAATGAGGCCTTCAGGAAGGAGGAGATCCTGTCAGGGAGAAGCCTGGGGCCTGAGGAATGGCTGTGAGAACCAGGAATGGGAAGAGGAGGGAGCCTACTTGAGCTTGAGTTCCCGGGTCTGCTCATTCTGAGCCTCCTCCAGGTCCTGCCGTACACGAATGTACTCGTCATGCTGGTCCTGGATCTCCGCCTTCACCGCCTGCAGCTTGGCGTAGAGCTGGGTGGGGACAGGTGCAGCTCAGAGGCCACCCAGCCTGAGCCCTGATGGCTGCAGGCTCGAGATCCACCAGCACAGCACAGGATGGGGCCAGGGCGTGGTCTGAATCTCCCTCCTGCAGCCCCACCATGAGTCAGAACAGGTTATTGAAAGGCTGCCCTGTCCCTCCTACACTGTGGCCTGTTACTTGCTTTCTCTCTCAGTTGCTGTCAGCAGCATGGACTATTCAAACTGGAAGGGACCCTGGGGATCTTTTGGTTCAACACCCTTTTTTTACAGGTGAGGAAACTCAGGCACAGACTTGCTCAAGGTCACACAACTAGTTAATAGAAGAGCCAGAATCAGGGCCCAAGTCCAGAGCTTAGGGAGAGGAGGGGGCCTAAGCCAGTGTGGAAGGTGAACCATCTCATTCCTACCTCTCCAGGGGCTCTCAAAAGTGGAATGTGGAGGGCAGCACTGACCCTGCTGTCCCACTCCTAACCCACTAGGGTGTCCCTGGGAACTGCCACTGTGACTGGGCCTCTGCCTGGCCTGTTCTGGGGCAGCCACATTGGCAACACTAAGAACTCTCCAGCTACTTTCCAGAATCCAGGCCAAAACTTGCTGCTTCCTACCCTTGACCCTCAATTCATATACACACCTTTCACCAGCCATTGACTTTGCAGGGTTCTGGTGGTGAGATATTCTTATCCCTTCACATGCCCTTAAGGGCTCTGTGTTTCCTTCCTGGAGCTCCCCAGGCTCAGGTCTCAAACTCCCTCACCACTCCCCTGGCCCTGCTCCAGGTCCGGCTATACAAATTGTGACTCACTGGCAACACTGTAAAGGGGGAGGTCACCCAGGACTATAAGGACAGTAACCCTGGAGACCAGAAGTGCCGGTGTTGCCGCCTATCAGACCTAGCCTGGCCCAGAAGAAAGGCTGTATTCCACCCAACACCAACCCCTGCCTTCCCCGTTCCTCGCGCCAGCAGCCCGGGCAATGTAACTGGTGGTCAGCAGTTCAAACAAAGTGGGGAAGAGGTCGTAAAAGACACACCCCTTGGGCATGTGACTGTGGCTGCCGGGCCCTCACGCACCTTGATCCTGTCCTGCTGTGGCATCTTACCTTTTTGAGTTTCTTGGTTTTGACCTCCACCTCCTGCTGCAGGGACGTGTAGGTGCCCCGGAGCTCCATGGTCTCCTCGTCTCGGAGCAGCATCTCCTGCTGCATCTCCCGCTCCCGGCGTTTCTAGGCCAGTGCAGGGCACAGGGGCTCAGAGCAGCGGTACATTCCAGGGAGGGCCGAGGGAGCTCGGGGACAGGCTCACTCTGCCTCTCATGGGACCTGGCTTCACTATGGCCACATCCATCGCTCCCACCCCATCCTCAGTGGTGCCTCTGAACCTTCTTCTCAGCTCCTGTAGCCATGCCTTTACCAGGCACCGTTCATGTGGATGAAGACCCCAGCCTAATCACTGGCACATGCCATAGGAGTCAACCACTTATACAGATGTTCATCATATGGGCTTCCAGCTGCCTCATCATCTCCCCATGTGGTATTACAGTTGACTGGTAAGACCAACAAACTGTGGTTCATGATGATTCAAGTTAGAGTCATACAGTTGGCAAAGAACTCACGCCCTGTGGAAGGCCCAGGAATTCATACCAGCTGCTGTGGAGGCAGACGTCATGGGGAGCTTCCACTTTCTCTCACCCACCAGCTAGCAGTGCCCCTGCCTGAGACAGGCCCTGGGCTGGTGGACCCATGGGATCCAGGGCAGCATGTCTTAGGTTCTCAGCTCTGTTCCAAGGACCCTCAGTCTATGATGGCTTACTGCCCAGTGCTCCTCAGACATAACCTCAAGGCCATGTGCCCCCAGGAGCCCCAACCCTACCTGCTCGGCAATCTCCTGCCTCTTCAGTTCCAGCATCTTTTGCTGCTCATTAGTGTGATCCATGATGTTCCTGCCCCCGATGAGCAGCTTGCTCTCCATGGCCTGGGGACACAGAGGGGTTCAGAAAGCCACAGGATCCCCAGATTCAGAGGTTTTGCTTCCCTACTCTCTGTGGTGCTCCCAGGATGGGACACAGATGTGTCCCAGATGGAGCCTTGTGGCCCTCAATAAGAAGGAAGTTTTTTCCTCCAGACTCTTGGGCCCCACCACAAGGCTCCTATTGTCAGCAGGACCTTTAAGTGAGAAGAAGAGAAGGAATCCCGCAGGGAATGTAAGGCACCTGATCTGTTTGCTTTGGATCAAGGTGGAAGGTGGTTCACCATGCCTGGGAGCAGGTGCAGATGGCAACCTAATCCTGGCAATCAGCACCCAGCTGGTGTTTAGGAGGGGGAGACAGAAGACAGTCACTGGGAAGCCAGCCTTGAGGGTATCTCCTGACTCAGGAAGAGACCTCTCAACACAGGCAAGAGAAAAGAGTCTAGTTGTAGGCTGACGTGGAAAGCAGAAGAAAAGCCAGACTCTGTATGTAATACTAGGGGGCAGCTGGGTCCCAAAGGCACATGAACTTTGGAGCTGGCCAGACAGACCTGGGTTCTACCCACTAACAGCAAAGCCTCGGCCAAGTTACCCACTTCGGTTCTCACATCTAATATCGGAACCGACTATGATCCAGGATGGCCAGCAAACATTTTCTGAGTGCTATTTGTTAGGGACTGATAGTCCCTTAACAGACATTATCCCTCTCCTCACCCTAAGAGAGATATACTATTACTCTCCCTCTTTAAAAAACTTTTTTCTTTAATTGACTTTAGAGAGATAGGAAGGAAGGGGGACAGAGACAGAAACATTGATTGGCTATGTCCTGCATGCCCCTCTTGGGGATCGACCAGGCATGTGTCCTGACAGGGAATCAAACCGGTGGCCTTTGGGTGCATGGGATGAACCACGCTGGCCAGGGCTACTCTCCCTCTTTAACAAAGGAAGAAATTGAGAGGAACTAGCTTAAGGTCATGCAGGTAGTTAATAAACCCACCCCCAGTTTCACTGTGGAAGCCCCTAGCCCAGTGCTTGGCAGACATTCCCTAGGTGCCTGCTGAATCTGAAACTTAAATGATAACATTTTTGTGTAGTCGTGTAAAGTGTGACTACATGAGATGCATTTTCACTATTGCTAATCAGAGGGTGTTGCCCCAGGGCACCCCAACTGTCCTCTGACTTCATCCCAGGCCTCCTGGAAGGTTGAAATCACCTTGAGCCTCCAGGAGAAATTAGCTGCCTCCCCACTGGAATTTTCCCCAGTAGAACCAGCTGAGCTGCCTGAGGGCTCTCAAAGCAGGAGTGCTGTCCGAAGGGGACCCCAGGCCACCTGCGAGAGCCCCATCACTGGGGACAGAGCAAAACAGGGGTTAAAGGTGCCTTTGGGAGGTCAGAGGTTGGACTATGTGTAGGTGCCAGAGGACACTGAACAAAGCTGGGTCAGTTAGAGTAGCCCCACCAGCCTGGGGAGAGAGCCACTGCAGAGAAAGGCGCCCTCAAGTGGCTGCCTGTCCTCACTGCCACACCACAGCCACCTGCTGAAGTTGAACCCCCCGTAGGCCTTACTGAGGGTTGTCTCGCCACTCACCCCCACCGCAGATTACAGACCTGAACTCATCCTAGACTTCCTTTTCACTAATGGTGAGTGAGCAGCTCCTTACATTTTGTATCCTAGGCACCTACCTCCTACCTCACTGTGGTGCCAGTCCTGTATCTCATACACATCCCAACATCCGGCCAGTCATTAAATCCCATCAAGTCTGTGTTCTTGGTGTGGCTCACACCATTCTATTCTTTTCATCCTCATGATGCCTGCTGGCTTCCCTGCGATCCTCGGTATTCACCCAGATCACTGAATGAGCTGGTCACTGCCTCAGTTTCCCCTTCCATGACATCTCCACATGACACTCTGAGGATCCACCAAATCCACCAGTCTGAGTATGCCTCTCCTCTGCTGCAACTGTTATCCACTCCTTACAGGATGAACCCCCAAGTGTGCAGCAGTCACAGGCCCATGGGCGGCCCTAGCTTCCCAATCTCCTCTTACTGCTACTCCCCTCTCCCCACTGTGTGCTCTGCACTCCAGCTCTGCCAAAAGAATCCCAGCTCCCTGAATGTGCTGTGTCTTTTCATAACACCAGCTTTCTCACCTGGAAAACCACTACTTCTCCTGCAAGACACGGCCTGAGCATCCTGGGACCTTTTCTCTGATTCCCTCCAAAATGGGTATCATTTCCCCCTTTGGCCTCCTCAATAACCAGGACACACTCCTAGTATTTTGCCATAACAGTCCATTATTTGTTTACATCCTGTCTCCCCTAGGGCTATTTCAGGACAGGAATCATGTCTTACTCAGATCTCAGTGACAGGACTTAGCACAGTGCTAAGCACATAGTAAGTGCTCAATCAATGTTTGATGAACTGAAAGGAATCCTTGGGGTTGCCCCAGAGGGGGTTTCTCTGGGCTTTCTCATCCCAGTTTCTTCTCCTTCAATTGACCAACTCACACTCACTGTTGCAGGGCAAAAGGGCAGAGCAGTAGGGTCTGGGCACCTGGGACATCTGATAGGAGAGGGGCTGGGTGTGAAGAGAGAGAAGGAGAGAAAGCACGAGGAAGCCACGTGCTGTGGGCCATGGATGACAGGTCCCTCTAACTACTGGGGAATGGAGTCTTTTCTTTTTAATCCTCACCCGAGGGTATTTTTCCATTTATCATCAGACAGAACGGGAGGGAGGAAGAGAGAGAGGGAGAAACATTGATGCGAGAGAGACACATCGACTGGCTGCCTCCTTCATGGCCCGACCAGAGTCTGGGATGAACTGAAACTGAGGTATGTGCCCTTGACCGGAATCGAACTCGTGACTCATTGGGCCATGGGCCAACGTTCCAACCGCTGAGCCAAACGGGCCAGGACAGGGAATGGAGTCTTGTGGGACCGTCACATTCTGGGACACACTTGTCCACTCCAGCCCTGAGCCCTTGCACTTCCCTTGGCATTTCATGTAACTTCAGTGTTCTTCACTCTTTGCTGTCTAATGAAAAGACACTAGTTCTCAAACTTGGATACATATTAGAATCACTGGGGAGCTTTTAAGACTCCCAGTGCCAGGCCCATTGCATTATCTTGATCCCTGCCACTCGTGATTGTGAGAACTCCTAGGCCAGGTGCCCTAGGGAAGCTCCAAGTAAGGAAGGCACAGGCAACAACAGTAGATGCCCTGTTGTTTCCTGCCTGATTTAAAGACTGGGGACTAGAGTGCAGCGAGAAGCACAGGACAAAAAACCAAGAGCAAGAAAACCATTTTTTTCTTTGTACCTACTACATGCCAGGTTTATCACATCTAATCCTCCTTAGTAACCCTGAAACCAGTGGGTCTCAAACTTCCATGTATGTCAGCATCATCTTTTAAAAGGCCCACCCCACTGCCAGTTAAATTGAAATGGGGAAGAGGGTAGGTGGTGAGGTCCAAGCACTGGTGTTTTTGAAAGGTTCGTTGTGCAGTCAAATTTGAGAATCACTGCTTTTTGAGGTCTCCTGAATCAGCATTACTTGGGAGCTTGTTAAAATGCGAATCTCAGGTCCTACCAGACCTGGTGAATCAGAAGCTGCATTGTAACGAGATCCCAGGTGACTTTAAGGGGCATATTATTAGCACCATCATTTTTCCAATGAAAGCTCAGAGAGGTTAAGTAATCCATCCAAGGTCACATCAGGACCATTAAATATAAATGGAGAATCCAGACCCAGGCTGGCCTGGCTCCAAAGCCCATGCGCTTTCTACTGCAGACATTGTGTTGAATGCTTCAGGAAGCAGAACCTACTAAAAGAAAAGCAACATGTTTCCAGCAAGAGAAAATCATATCTGACTAATCTCCAAGGTCATTACCGTACATGGGAAAGCCAGTGGCCAGAATTTTAGAGGTTAAAATGCTCCTGGCAAGGTTCTTCATCAGAGGTTATTCAAAATTACATGGTGGGTGAGGAGATGGAGAAAGGGAAGTATTTTCTCAGAACAGAAAGGTGAGTTAGCAAAAGGAAACAGAAGTAAACAGGCATCCCTCAAGATGGAAAAAAGTTCAAGTGTTAACTGTTGGGACTGATCTCTGTTGGAAAGTATGCACTGGTGAAATACCCCGTTTCACAGATGCTCTCAAACCCTTCCTCTTGGTAAAGCACAAGAGAATTTCTGGGCTGTGTGAGCTGACAAAAAATGGCAGATGAGCTTCAATTATAGTTTTACATTTTGGGAAAAAGTAATCCTAGCTCTACTCATTAAATGATAGCTATGAGCAATCAGTTATAAGCCAGAAGGGGGGCAGGTGAAGAGAAAGTCGATCTCTATTGTTCCCAGAAGACACTGGCTTAATATGCTGCCACAGCTGAAAAAGCTAATAGCATCTGGCCAGCCACCATCATGAAGGCTTTTTAGAAACAAAACAAAAATTGTTCTATCCTAATATAAAACCATGATGCAACTGAATCTGAAGTACTGTGCACAGTTCCCTTCCTGCATCTCTGGGGACACAAAGGAGAGAGGAGATCCTGAGAAAGGCGGCAAAAACCATTCAGAAAAGAGCTATTCTAAAGGCTTTAAAAAACAGGTCTTGACTCTGCAAAGACAAAGGACGGTTAAGAGGACAGGCCTGGAAGCTATACAATCAAAACAGGTGTGAGGCCCTGGCCAGTTTGGCTCAGTGGTTAGAGTGTGGGCTGGTGGACCTAAGGGTGTCAGGTTCGATTCCTGGTCAAGGGCATGTACCTGGGTTGCAGGTTTAATCCGTGGCCCTGGTCAGGGTCATGTGGGAGGCAACCAACTGGTGTGTCTCTCTCACATCGATGTATCTCTCTCCCTCCCTCCCTTCTACTCTTTCTAAAAATCAATGGAGAAATATCCTCAGATAAGGATTGAAAAAACAAAAACAAGTGTGAAAAGCAAAGATCTAGACTTTTTCAATCAATCCTGGTACATAGAGTAAGAGCTTATAGCTTGAGGGTTTTTTTTAA